TCCAACTTCTAAATGCCTATCAAAGAAGCTATATGACGGCGGTCTGTATTAGTAATCGAGTCTGGACCAGACAATCCAGTGACCGACATCATGATTGTCGATCTTCGCAACTGGGATATGAAGACAAGCGTCAACCAAGTCAGGAAGCCTGACAACACGATCCCGTTAGTCACTTCTTACGACAAGCATGGGTTGCTGAAGACCTATTCTACCCCGGATCTTCACGGGTCTGTGACCATGTACTCATCAACATACAGGAATACAGAACTCCAGATAGGCTGCGTATCTGCGTAAAATACGCATCAGAAATGCAGAAATACGCAGTAAAATAATATCCAAGCGCATCAAATATGCAATGAACATTACAGATACACTACAAAAATAATTCTTGTGCGTATCATCAAAATATTGTGAAGTAACCCTGCATATTCGATTGGCAAATCAGCAACTTATTTTGAAATTATAAACGGGCATATCCGTCAACCTTGCCAAACTCCACGATGACAGTTACCTCATGATCATTTGCCATCACACTTTCTTGTGGAAGTATCGTGGTATTTTTGAGTCCTATAAAGCTCTCGAACCCACACAACACCAGTTTGCAGGGACTAGATGAACAGTGTTTTTAAATATTTAACTTAAAAACCCACATGTGTAAAAACTAGTGGGTAACAGAAATTTGAATACCCAAATAGAATTACTGATACCCAGTGATTTTAAAATGCACGGGTAAAATACCCACAACCCCAAAAGCTTATCTGGAGCTCTGGGAATATATATGGATGTTACACAGAAAGTACATCTAAACATGGACATCAAACATCAACAGTATTTTTGTACATCACCAAAAAGGAACATGGCTGTTTGAGCCAGGATCATGCATCCCAGTACAACAGTGAGTATGGTTTTACGCCGCTTTTAGCAATATTCCAGCAATATCACGGCCGGGAACACAAGAAATGGGCTTCACACATTGTACCCACATCAGGAATCGAACGCAGGTCTTCGGCGTGATGAGCGACACCCCCACAGTACAACAGATGTTACCCCTGTTTAACCCCATAGCTCACCTGGTAAAATCCTCTCTTGTGGAATATGTTGACTTGGCCCATGTTGCCATGACCCTCTTGACCAAACAAATATATTCTTCATGAACAGCAAATTTCACCAACGGAAGTATATAGTGTATTTCATTTTTCTGATACCCCTATAAGTTCACTAAGAAACTGACCATTTTTTGTTGTTGTAAATATGATCTGAATTGACATATTTTGACAATGTTTCCAATCAAACAGAAATTTGATATGGCCTCACACTGTATGTACACATCAATAATGTTTCAGTTTTCATGTAACTGTTTGAAACAAACCACGACCTTCCATCACAGACTAATGTCATGCATGTCATGCTCCGTGTGTCGCCCTTCGAGCATAAATAATATTTCCCACACTGCACATCATAACTCAGCCTCACATATCTACCAGGCAATCATGATTTTGACTCAAAATTGATTCACTACATTTTCTCTCTGTTAATGTATGTGTGACAGAATTACCACATGAATATGTAACTCAATTTAGCAGCAGCATTAAGCATACAAACTGTTGGAAAATATAATCATTTCCATGAAGATAATGAATTTTATAATTTCAATAATTATTTAAGTTTCAACTTGTCCAACCTCAGTACTAGGTGGCAGATGAAGATAATCAGACAAAATTAATCTCTGCAGAATTCCTAAAGAGCAAAAGTGACCAGTTCAAGGCCAGACCGATATCTCTGCAAAATTTTATCAAGAAATATTAAACATTCTTTGAGTTTTGCTCTAGAATCAAAACATGACAGAGAGCACCCATTCCTATATCCCCTTCCAAATTAGCGGGAAGGGAAAAATATTGAAATTCAATGATGTGTAAACAATAAACATCCCACTGATTAGGTCTTGTTTGTTTGTTTATTCCAGCTACATGACGGTGGTCTGTAAATAATCGAGTCTGGACCAGACAATCCAGTGATTGACATCATGAGCATCGATCCACGCCATTGGAATACGATGACATGCAACCAAGTCAGCAAGCCTGACCACCCGATCCTGTTAGTTGCCTCTTACGACAAGTATAGTTGCCTTTATGGCAAGCATGGGTTGCTGAAGACCTATTCTACCCCGGATCTTCACGGGGCACTGACTGGGTACTTTTCCATGTACAACGCACTGAATGGGAACATATGTTATTTAATCCCACCCCTGATGGAGAGCAATCTACCTGTACATCAGCCCCTGCAGCTTGACGCAGCTTAACTCAGGTACACAGGTTATCACAACCAAATCTTCCTCAACAATCACTTCCAACATTTAACCTCCCATACATGGAATTAATTTATTCCCAAGAAAACGAAAAATACACTATAAATATTATGAAAAACAAAAGTTTACAAGATGTTTTATCGAGGTGTGAATCTTGTACATGCAACTTATTCCCTTCTGATAAAATCACCGCTCCCAGCGGTCGTAAACACCTGCAAGATATGTCTTGATAGCAATCTGTCCAGGTAAGAGTGAGCAGGCAATATTTTAGAAGCTACAATTTGAAGTCTCTATGACCAGAAACATCCAGTACCCATTGTATGTGGTGTTAGTGACAAATAACTTCTGTTAGTGAGTGAGTTGGGTTTAAAGCCATTTATTCCAATTATATATCATGGAATGTCAGCTTAATATGGCAGGAAAATCTGAAGTGATGCAGGTCTAAGACGTTTATCACTTTGGTGAAACCCCATCTTCCTGAGGCAAGGGAGTTAACTGACTATAAAAGTCCAGTTTCCCTTGCCGAACAAGACTGGAATTTCTAGGTTCGATCGTATCGCCACCAGCAGTTGTTACGAATAGTGTCCTTTCTATGCCTCTCCTATGGACCAATCAGATTCCACCTCTTGTATCACTTGCATTTGCTTCAAATAAATGGCGGCGCCCAGTCAAGACGATGTGATTGATAATCAAGATCTATATTTTGATAAAACAGGTTTACATCCCAAAGTGCATCAAATCACGTGATCACCTTCATTAAAAACATGAAAGATGTGGAAAATATCTGCTGACGCCGAGGTGGCAGTGCACATCTTTTGCAAATCCTGCAATCGACCAATATCTGCACAACAGTTTACAAACCGGATTTCTATTTCGCTACACGATTTTGATTTTGATTGGACTATGCATAGGCTTGTCAGTCCAGCCAAAATATAACTCCACAATACCAGCCTAGTTCGGCAAGTACGGAAACTGGACTTTTATAGTCAGTTAACTCCTTTGCCTCGGGAAGATGGTGAACCCACGAGCACAGGTATGGTTGGTCCTGACAAACCTAAAAACATAATTGGGGCAAACCAGGCTTCATCTATTGCAGAAGCCACACGCCAGACTTCCCCTACCCTTAGGGCCTTGCTTACATTCAAATGTTGACAGTATGTTTACCTCTTACACACATGGAAATACAAGAGTGTATTTGTAAATAAAAAAACATCAAACAAAAAAGTCCAAACAGGATACTAAAAAAGTTGGAAACCAACCAACAAAAAGCATGACTGACAAACAGCACAGCTTAAAAAAACATCTTATGCATAAGCCTTTACATTATGTTATGGTCCACGTAAAAAACAGTAGTTAATAACAGAATTACTTTAGATGAATTACATTTTATAATATCATGTCTATGTTAGGGCTGGGACGGGTACCTAGGGTGCTCGGGTCGGGTGGTTAATGACAAAAATTCACTACTACATCCATGGTTGCCTACAAGTCACTAATGTTTGCATATCTTTCTGACTACAGGCACATCCCTCCTGGCTTTTATACGTTTTGAGGAGGATGCAGCTTCAGTCAACTTCAGTATACCGTATTTTCTTGAGTATAGCGCGCACCCATGTATAATGCGCACCCCCCTCAAGCGGATTCAGTATTTTGGAGAAAAAATTTTGAATGTCAAGCGCAGAAAAAAATTACACCGTAGATCTACCCCTTCAGCGAATTTCGGTAAACGAGCGGGTGATGAGAAACTTGGTCATTACAAATTCGAAATTTGAGATAAAAAATCACCAGATATGTTTATTTACCATTTAAATTGAATTTTTTGTTCTGCTAGGCATTGTTTTACATCCAGGGATTAAGATTACCTTGTGTATTTTCACCTAAACAAAGCCAGGAACAGCAATCAGCTGTACACACAGTATGCATGACCAGATCGTTTTTTAGATGTACCTAAATACTTTTTGCAAGGGGTCCAGCAAAATAATTCCTAATCAGACATTTTGTACACAATTATTGATGGTACAGCGGGTACCCGGATTGGTTAATTGGGTGTTGGGTACCCGGGCAGTAAATTTAGAGTCGTCCCGGCCCTATAGCCTATGTACTATTTCTCTCTTTCAGTATTCAACAACATCTCTGTATGTGCCGTACCCGTGGGAGTGGCATCGGTGGCAAACATCACAATCCACAGACATCTGGTGTCATAACATGAGCTGAGTGAGTGAGTTGTGTTTAACGCTGCTCTTAACTGTATTCCAGTTATATCGCGGCCTAGGATGACAGCAAACTGTTACTGCAGTTGATCATGACCTTAAATATAGTGGTACTAGGATGTACGGCGACATCATGTAGTTTACTACTACCATGAACTATGGCAGTGGAATATTGTCATCAACAAAGTTTTCATCCATCTTGAACTGTGGTAAGTGGCCTACTGTACCACATATACATCATGAATTATAAACATAGTTGCATATCCCTACTACATCAAGTCTACCTCAATCATGAACTACTGCAGTGGAATATTGTCATCAACAAAGTTTTCATCCATCTTGAACTGTGAAAAGTGGCCTATTGTACCACATATACATCATGAATTATAAACATAGTTGCATATCTCTAACTAAGAAAGTAGGATATGTTGTATGTGTACATTCACATAATAACATTGAAGGTGTACATCCCCATCATGGCTTACCTGTATCGTTGAGGTGGAAATAACAAAACATGTTTCCGCACCCCCGTCATATCCTGCCTTGATCTCCACATGTTTCACCTCAACTGTTGACAAACATTCTCTATCACATCCACAAGGAAGAGTATTCTCCCCTTTCTTCAAGGCAGGTACGATATCCCTGTCATCCGTGGTATTAATCTTCTCATTGAAGGACTCTCCCAGCCTCCCTGGACAAAGCTCAGCCAGACTCTCAAGGTCCGGATCCGGAGTGACGGATCTGGAGGAGATTGTGTCTAATGACATACGATCAAATTCAAACCGTGATGTGGAATTATTTTCTTCAACTTGCTTCAAAATTTCAGCAAAAAGTTGAGTAATGTCCTGGTCGCTGTCATCCGTCCCGGGGGTGTTGTTGGGGGAGGCCCATGTTGGGGACGAGGGGGAGAGGGGGGATACAGAGGCTGCTGAGTCAAAGTTCTCAGCATCACGCGATGACGGCTGGTCAAAGAACCCCGAATCAGCTGTGGGAGAAGCTATGGCTGGGCTGAACACGGGCGGAGTGGTAGGACTCAGGGGTGTCAGTGGGGTTGTTGGCGACGTCGGGGATGTTGGACTGGTCGGGTTTTCGGGGTCTTCGATCTTTTTGTTCTTCTTCTTCTGGAAAGATCGTGGAAACTTCTTCTTTCTCAACTTCATCATGGTTTGTTGAAAGGATACAGAGTTTTCACAATGAAAGGTCACACTGGACAGAAGCAGAACACAAGCATTTCAGGACACAGGTACTCCAATGTGAAGGATCTATAAGATTATTCCCAAAACTGAGTCTCTTCTTCACAGCTGTCGTCGGCTATTCAATAAACCAGTTCCTTAAAACTGGTTCAGATGTTCAAATAAACAACTCTCCATTAAAACTGTTTACATATTCTGTGGATAAACCACAAGATTCTCCACTATAACTCTTCAGTCATATATTCCACTGAGAACAACCTATGATTTCCCTTTAAACTGTTGAGTCAGCTACTCAACACGAATGAACAAGAAGACTTTCCTTCAAAACTCCTAATACCAGTGAGCAGAGCAAGAGGCCCACTTGAAACTCTTAAGGTTTTAGTTGCATCACAATAATTGCCAATTATGCTTCTTTTCTCCGTGATTGCAATAAACACAGTTCAACAGGCAATAATGGGATTAGCAGCAGGCTACAATCGGCTGTAATGTCCCAATTCAAGGCCGGATTATAATCCTCCTGCCCAATATAACACACACAGCTACTCCAGCTCTGACAGTGAACCACCTGACATTCAGCTCAAAAAGTCAGAAGTCTTCACAACAAACACCATGGATTAAGCGAACAAGAACCCAACAAATCGGGCAATTTCTAGGGCAGTAGTCCAGCTGTTTGATCGTGAATGAACATTTGTCCAAGTTGTTTTATAAATATACGATACACAATAAACCTAAACATACAGAACCTGTTCCATAGTCAGACAGAGAATACATTAAATGGGTAACTGTCAGGGATCATTAAGAAAGATATGAAAACATAAACCGAATCTCAAGCATCAAATTTCCGTCTTTCAAATCGAATACACTGTCTGATTCACGCTGTAACACTTGTAAATGAGTCTGTTGAAAATGGCCGAGGTATTCATCTCAAGGAGGTATAATTACACACAAATTATAGGCTCACCCACTTCAGGCTCCATTAAACCCAACAAGGCTGTTGAGCTTCATTAATCATGCAAATCTTGCTCACCTCGCCCACTGAAGAATATCACTCCCTTTATCCTGAAACTATGGACAATAATGCAACTCAATATTGAAAACTACTGCGTTTCTTTTAAAGGTATATTGAAATTCCAGAGACGGAAAAAGTCACTAAGAATCTATAAAACCTGACACAAAAGATAAAGTTTGCAATGTCCTAAAAAAAATTATTGGTCGATCATGTCTGTTGAGATACAAAGTTCAGTTTCTGTCCTTCCAAAAACGCTTGTCAATCAACAAATGAGCTTTGTGAATAAGAAAAATAGTCCAATGATGAATAGTCCATGAAGACACTGTATCCAATATCAACTTAATACGCTCACAACACCACCAAGACTAATCCTGTAGGGACACAGTACTAAATTGTTTACATCTCCTCCGAGCAGTCGACTTTACCCACAGCCTTGCAACAGACAAGTCATTCATGAGATGTACAAGATATTTCCATTCCAATATTTTCACGAGGACATTCAACCGTGGTTACACTTGGCTAGGTAACCTGATCCTTGTCGCGTCGCGATGAAGATTATCCGCGCTCACAAAGATGATCTTCATTCCCCATGGAACCGATATGATGAACTCAGCGGTGTGCGACTCCGAGGTGTTTACTGGGTCAGCTCGAGTTGTTTGAAGAAGATTAAATTCATCTGACATACAGTCGTAGGTCTTGGTCAGCTGTACACGTATAAGCCAATATCAAACACGTACTAGCAGAGAAACCCTGGTCAGTCCTCTTGCTCAGGGAGACGACGACTGTCACTGCTATGTAAAGAGATAAAACAGTTCCTAGTAGTTACAGCAACATGATAAAGACGGAAATTCATGCAACAATGATATCAAGAATTATTTCCTGTTAACACAAAGAGAATTATGTTTGCAAAATCAAAAAGTGTAATCTACTCTCAAAGTTCTTGAACACAATAACTTCCTTTTGATGTAAGAGTATGAGTTAAAGACAACAGAATATGATTTTCACCTAAACTACACAAAAAATGACAGATTATCTACAGCAATGTGAAAGAATTGGATGTTCCTTAACTTCTTTTGAGTAGTATTCAATAAGATCGTAGCACATCCAGAAGAAAGGCAACACGCATGACAAAGGTTCAAATAATACTGGCAGTGAAACTGTTTTTTACTTGCAAAAATAAAAATGTACTTAGTAATATAAACATTCAGTAGGGACTTATTATCAGGTAACCTATTATGCCAGATACACAAATATAAACTTTTAAATTAAATCAAAGTGGTCTATTCATGGTTTCTGACAATATTTGGTGTCAAGTATTTTAATTAGAAACTGATATCTTCTTATACAACAGTATACAATCTATGAACACATTTTACCTAATCCTTCTATGACCAATTTTGCAGACCCCCTTACTGAAAATTTAAAAAACCCAGATACCTTATTAAAATTTAAATATTATTTGTCAGTATATAGTTAATATACAACAAAATAAATATTAAAAATAATTTTGAAAATTTTCTTTCGTTCATACATGTTGAAATAATATTGTCAAATATTTGAATAAAAATATATAAAAATTAACAATTGTAAATGTGTTATCAAAACATGATAAATTCATTAAGTATCTAAAAACAGATGGAAAAACAATTTCCCTCTTACTTGCTCAGTTAAGTTTTTCAAACATTCCCCACATTTGCAGCTACAAACATACTGTAATCCTCAGCAAGAACTTCTCTGTCTTAGGACGCCTACTGTTAAGAGCTAAAAAACAACTTTCTGATCTGATCACAAGGGAATTCCGTTCTCATTGAGATCATTCAATGAATTTCTACACTGCAGGTTAAACCATTTGAACTGCACATACCGTGATCATTCCAAATCTGTTCAGGATATAGCCTCATTCACTACAGTAATGCAAGACTTTGTTGAAATCCCCCTCTGCACCGGCTGTAAATCATGTTCAAAGTTGAGTTCGTTATGTCGCGGATTCTTGGCCAATTCCTGTCATAAACACTTGTATGACATGATCGGCCCTACCCAGAGCTACTCCATTATAAGTAGATCATTGACTTCTGTTGCTGCCTTCAGGGCAGATCATTCAGGGCATACCAGTGAAGGTCTGAATACTTCTCATTCAATAATAGCCAAACACTGCCTATCAGCAGTCATTAAAACCCAATCAATACATTTTGTTGTGGTAATGACGAGCCTCATCAGCCAGACCTCCATTGCAATGGACATGGGTGAGTGAGCGAGACGGGTTTAATTCTGTTGAACAGCATTTTAGATATATGACGGCATGTTGGCTTGATGGGGAGGCAAGCCTGAAGCAATACAGGTCTTGGATGTCACTTTGGTGAATACTTTTGTACAGACAAAACAAGGTTCATGATCAGAATATTATTTCTTTTCAAACCTGCAGATGTGGATCCTGGCATGGATAAGGGAGGCTACTCTTCAGTGTATTGCTTAGATCACCAAGCCACCTCAGTCACTTTTGTGCAGACAAAACACGGTTCATAGTCAGATTATATTTTTTCAAACTTGCAGATGTGGATCCTGGCATGGATAAGGGAGGCTAATCTTCACAGCGACTGGCTTAGATCACCCAGCCACCTCAGATCTTGCCAAAGATCAAGCTGAAGATGTCGTCAGGATCAGGAACTGTCAGATGTAACATCCCCGGGTGGTATGAAGAGTTATAGTCTAGCTGTGTTGGCAAATCTATCTTGATACATCTAATCACTAGCGTGTGAAATTAGCAACAGCTTCAAGTTGGTTATTCAACATCAACGTCCTCCAGTAATGTTACAATCAGTACTTGATGCAGATTCGTATCGCTCGCACATTTATGATGGAATACGAAGTCCGGTCTTCAGAGACAGTTAGCTGTGAGAGGGCCCCACAAGTAGTATATATCTCTACATCACAAAGCACTGCTAGCACTTCATTGCTCCATATCACTGGGGTCCAATTCATCAAACATAATAAACCACCACACACTCCTGATCTGAGATATCATAGACAATATATGACCATAAAGCAATAAAACTTTTATGAGGTTCACAACATTGGTTATTTGAACAAGTGAACATCTATCGAGAAACATAGATTTCTATAAGATTGTTGATGTGTTACATAATCTTATCATCATTTTCACATTTAAAGTTCAATAAGATATCTTAGAGTGAGTGAGTGAGTGAGTGAGTGAGTGTGGTTTTCTGCCGCCTTTAGTTATATTCCAGCTATATCAGGGTGGGGGACACCAGAAATGGGCTTCACACATTGTACCCATGTTGGGAATCGAACACGGATCTTCGTAGTGACGGGCGAACACTTTAACCACTAGCAACCCCACCGACCCCAGTGTATTAGAACTGTATTGATAATTGACTGAATGTATGTAAGAGTTTGTTTCCTCACACTATCCCTTATACATAGCTGTTATACTCAAGGTGAAAATCATTATCATTTCATACTATTCATGAATTTGCGTCTCTTTTTTTTTCAAAATAAGTAGAATTTCTTAATGGCTTGGAATCAATACAGTGTATGAAATAACACGTAAATAATGTCATGTTGATCTATCACCAAGTCTTTTTATTGTCCCTCGTGTCAGAAGAAAGATTTTTTCAACGTAATCCCAGTAGACCAATCTCATTCATCTGTGCGATGTCTGTCAAGCCTGAGACAGTAGCCCAGTCTATCAATCATCATAAGGTGTCACTGTGCTGTCAAATAGCTATGCCTTGCTGTGTCAAAACACCAGTTCAACATTGTCATGTGACGCCATGTCCGTTACTTCTCATCAATTTCTTGTCACCAATCGTACCAACATTCTTGTATTCTTCCTGGTAGGTCAAACTTTCAATGACGGTTTCAAAGCCTCAAGAAAGCTTTCAAAGAGTCTCATGGTAGACGACATTTTCAAATTTGATGCATCAGTGATCAAAATTATGTCCGATACAATTCCCTATTTTGACTTTTACACTTTCCCTTGTTTCTTCAGGTGAACAATTGACTTGCCCATGCATGTGTTTGTGATGGGTGCCACCAGTGTGGCAGGATCATTACTATTTGACAGTTATTCTCAAACGCAAGCTTCTGATATAGTCACAATCATACCATGAACTCTGTTTTAGGCACCGTATTTTATGATTACTGAAATGCTTTTTTGTTGCATTTATTTACTGTACAGGATAAGAATCCTGTGTTTTGTTGATCCTTGAGTTTATGTCAAACCGTTATGTGGCTTTTGTTTTCAGTCCGCAATATTCCAGCTATATCTCTTTGAAAATAATAGTCTTGACCAGTGGTTGATAGCAGGAGCATGACTCGATACTTTCAGAACAATGTCACCCAATCAACTATCCAATGCAGGGCTCGGGTAATTAACCTAGCAATATTAACAGGACATAGTAATTGAAGTTTCTATGCCTGGTGTAAAATGCTGCATTCAAATCTATTACCCACCGTCTACCTCTGGATTACCCTGTTCCAGCCCCGAAATAACTTGCAGAAATTCTGTACATATGTTCTAAAGAGCTTACTGTATAAAATTCAAAATCAACTAACCGACCATGGCCAGTCTGTGTTTGTTTGTTGTTTAACGCCGCACTCAGGAATATTCCAGCTATATGACGGCGGTCTGTAAATATTTGAATCTGGACCAGACAATCCACTGATTGACATCATAAGCATCTATCCACCCAATTGGGATACGATGACATGCATCAACCAAGTCAGCGACCCTGACCACCCGATCCCGTAAGTCGCCTTTTACGACAAGCATAGTCGCCTCTTACGGCAAGCATGGGTTGCTGAAGACCTATTCTACCCGGGATCTTCATGGGTCACCAGTCTGTGAGTTATGAAACACCAGTTCTGTAATAGTGTTCATGGCATACTTCATCAAACAATCAATTCCTTTTTAAATAGATATATTTTTTGGTGTATAGGGTACACCTTTTTCCAAAAAAACCCAGCTGTGTAGAAAGGGGTTTACATAATACACCCATACAATGAGTTATGGTTCTTTTTCCAACATAAGACATTACTATGAGAATATAACATAGGAAATAGCATTTGAACAAATCTGTACTAGTTCGTCTTCTGTGATTGCTATTTCCTGCTTATTTTAAGAGACAATTACATACAATGATCTTATCTCTGTATATACACAATGCCTAACATGATATGAAATACAATTGAAAAATTGTAAATAATCATATCTTCTGATGCTTTATTCATAAATTTCCATTTTCATTGACCAGGTTTTTTATCTCTCGATTGTTCACTTGAAGCAATACTATGTAGTTTTTTATTTGACTGCACACAATATATGAAATAGCAAATTTTCCCGGAATTTGAATCAAAGAATGGGGTGTGCATTATGCAAAAGAAAATAAGGTAATCAAACTATCAACTTCTTATTGCAGGCTGCAAAATTGGTTACCGGTATTTTAGTTGAAAAACCAGTTTCATGTTCACAGTAGAATATAAGTGCTGTTTATATCCCCACGTCATGTGACACATCAAAGCCCACTGAAGACATCAAAGTGTTCATGATTAAATTGAAAAGATGTCTTCATTTGACTATCCAATTGTAAACAGAAATAAATGTTGTCAAAAGTAAGACTTCATTTTAATATATTGGGATTGTTATTTGACACATACTGAGAAATACTTCTTTGGGGTTCGAAAACACAGTACGCAAAGATCATCATAAGCATCATTTGTCCCCATTCAAGTTCTGAAGCAACCAGCGTTCACACAAATGATGTTTAAGGCATTGCTTTCCTAAAATTGAAGAAGACATCTGTTCTGGAGGATTGACAAGTCATCCCAACCTCTGTACCCTATCATCAGCTTCATAAAACACCTTCCAACAGCATCATTATCCTTCAGTTATATATCCGATGATCACAGGTTCAAAATCCACAAGTAATCACGTCTCTCGCCCCCCGACCTTGCTCCAGTCAGCCATTCCGTCCACGCCGCACAGCACAATTATATACGGCTGCACTTCACCCGACACCCAGAGTGTCACCCAAACCAGTCTTTCCAGACTTGTCTCCTCCCCATCCTTGTTTCTGTACACAGTCTGCACCTCTATGCATGTGAATACCTGTCGTCACTGGTCTGATGTTATCCATGCAGACATCCGTCTCCCTGGTCTAGTGGATAGAACATCTGCCCGGAGAGTGGAAGGTCAGTGGTTCAAACCCCTGGATGCGTCCTACCAAAAGATGCTAAAGATGTACTTGTTGTTATCCTCCCTGGAGCTTGATAACAGATAACACAGGGAAAGGTCATCTTTGATTCAGCAAGATTTTAAGTATTCTTGTATTAGCCGTTTTGGAACATTGAGATTTCCAGCAAGATTTAAGAATTCTGGTGCTGTGTGATGTTGGCCATTTAAGACCTCCAGGAAGATTTAAGTATTCTTGTAGGAGGTGTTTTGGAACATTGAGATCTCCAGCAAGATTTAAGTATTCTGTTGCAATGTAAAGTGGGCCATGTAAAACCTCCAGGAAGATTTAAATATTCTTGAAGATGGTGTTTTGGAACATAGAGATTTCCAGCAAGATTTATGTATTCTGGTGTTACGTGAAGTGGGATTTCCAGCCCTCCAGCAAGATTAAGTATTCTTGCATTATGCATTGTAGGACATTGCGATCTCCAGCAAGATTGATGTATTCTGGCAAAGAGGGGCATTGCAAGATGTTCGTAAGTTATTTGGGATCAGTTGATGTGGTGATGTAGGCATATTGTGACTTCCTCAAAGCTGTATATTTCCTTGTATTAGGTGATGTGAAACACTGACATCTCCAGCAATATGTATTTTATCTACATCCGGTGAAGCAACACCCTCCGAACCAGGTGCCAGGTAGACAAGCACTATCACATGTAACATCAGCTCCCAAACCTCGTCGGAACACGGGGGCACGGCTGGCCCAGTCGTCTAAGGCACCGCGATTCGCTGTGCAGAGTTGCGTCCCTTGGGCACGCCAGAAACCTATGATTGTGGGTTCGAATCCCGGTTCGCCCCGATTATGTTTCTAGGTTTGTCAGCACCATACCCGTGCTTGTGGGTTTCACCGAATTGGTAAACGTCTGAGACCTGCATCACTTTGGGCTTTCCTCCCACATTAAGCTGACATGCCACGTTATAACTGGAATATTGTTAAAAGCAGCGTTTAACCCAACTCACTCACTCAATCATCGGAACACAATGAAGTGAACTTCGGAGCTGTGAGTGTCCAGGAGTGTCTGTTGGCAGGTTCACTGATGTCCATTGTCCAGTCAATTAGGAGTGAAAGTGCTGTTCCTTTGATTGTTGTCTCACTTGACAAACACTTCATATTGAAAGCTGGCAAACAGAGTGAAAGCTTTAAGCCATCCACAATCATAGTCTGAGGTGACATGTCAAACAGTCATGGCAAATAATGCATGAATAGTGGATGAATTCAATGATGAGAATTCCTTAGGTGTCTTTGATGTTAATGCACTTGTCCAAATATGCTTCTTTCCAGATAGTTGGAAGTGTTTCATTATAGTTATTTTCATAGTGGAGTCATCAAATAGTTCTTGAAGTTCCTCTTCTTTGTGCAGAATTCAGACTTTTTTCAATGAAATTATATTCATGCTGGTATATGTACACACTGACATACTGCTCACAAGCTTTCACATCTTGTTATTCCAAGACACTTTATTATTCCCTGACATTTCTTGTTATTCACTGACAGATCTTGTAAAACCCTGGCACGTCTTGTAATTCCCTGACACATCTTATTATTCACTGACACATTGTTATTCCCTGATGTGTGTTATTATTATTCCCTGACACATCTTGTTATTCTCTGACACATCTTGTTATTCCCTGACACATCTTGTTATTCCCTGACACATCTTGTAATTCCCTGACACATCTTGTTATACCCTGACACATCGTGTTATTCCCTGACACATCTTGTAATTCCCTGACACATCTTGTTATTCCCTGACACATCATATTATTCCCTGACACACCTTGTTATTCCCTGACACATCTTGTAATTCCCTGACACATCTTGTTATTCCCTGACACATCTTATTATTCCCTGACACATCTTATTATTCCCTTACATATCTTGTTATTCCCTGACACATCTCATTATTCCCTGACACATCTTATTATTCCCTGACACACCTTGTTATTCCCTGACACATCTTGTAATTCCCTGACACATCTTATTATTCCCTGACACATCTTATTATTCCCTGACACATCTCATTAATAATTCCCTGACACATCTTTGTATTTGTATTTACAGTGTGAACAGATCTACTTGACTACATGTTCTATGATGTCTGTGTTTTGACACATGTATTAGCAACTCTGACATCCATGCTATGCTATGAAACGTTATCAATCCTACGTCGTCCAGGGTTTGTGCCACAGGGCCCTGCCCACATTCCCTCAGTCACAGATCCAACACATCAGCAATATCCATCAGTATGTGTCTCTCACGCCAGTATTTGTGTGAAATCATGCATAAATGATAACATCAAGATAATTGGTACAGTGGACGAATAGTGGCCATCAGCTTGTCACACTGACCCACGACTCTCATAGGAAATACTACATGCTGAAGATGCTGAATTTTATTTGTACACTAAGTCCCACTGACTGACAACAGAGAAAAAATGTACTCAAACTATAAATATTTGAAATAATCAGTAGTTTTCTCATATTTTACTGCAATATTTGAATCATCCTTTGACCTGATTCTTAAATGGGACATTATCTGGTTATGATAAAATACATTTTTCTTTTTTTGTGTAAAATATGATTCATAACTTTAACAATATATTTGAACCTTTGTCATGTGGTATTTCAACAAATATAACTGACATTTTGAATGTCATTTCAACATAAGAATCCTGAAGTGACTTACCTCTTTTGTACATTCATTTCTTCAGACTTAGTTGAAAACAGAAGTAGAAATCCAGGCTCTCGAAAACAAAATCCGTAGACAAACACTGTCAAACTTAATATCTGTCAAACGTGCAAAGCAATCTCGTGAACCTCTGTCCGATCCCGAACACTTCACATCAAAGACAATCTCTACAGGAACACATTAAGGTGGAGAACCCCTTTAAAGACAGACACTTCTAGCCACTGACTGCAGCATTAGCAGTTATGATCAAGAGCCACCAGCTTGATGATTGAAAGTGTGCCTCCCATCACCCCACACACAACTGACGTCCACAAGTACAACACTACCCTTGCTACACAGCCCTGTGAAGCTCGTCTGTGCCGGGTGGCAAGAAACAGGTGCTTGTATTCAACCCACTGATACTGTCAACATTGGTTCAGCGTGCTTAATATGCCGGCCACTCGTGCGAGACTGAAGGCTAGGTGGGTCATCCTGTGTATGAACTGACAGTCTCTGTTGTAATAAGAATATCTTTTTCACCGCTGATCTTGATCAGTACATTAACAGCGAAAAAGAAAAATATCTCACTTTGTAAGTTTCAGAGTAGCTTAGCTTTTCAGCTTGGGGTAGGAGTGTTCAACACATTCTCATATATACTGAAACACGTTGAAAACGCAAAATCAACTTTAAATCGAATTCAGCAAATATGTGTTTTGGTGCTCAAATCCATCTCTAAACACATCGAATGAGATTCTAACGGTACAATGACATTATTGTGCTTGATTATCTCATGACAAAATACCCAGAACAATTTAACTTAATTTTTGGGTCCACTTGGTCAAATATTCTCTTTCATAGGTGTGAGATGCCTTACAGTTATTCATGAGATTATGGAAAAACTATTAATGTTGCTAAGTGTCTGAAACGTCATGAGGTGAGGTAAAATAGGGTTTAACGTCGCATCCAAATTTGTTGCACAATATAGCAACAAGCATGCACTTGTGTGTGTCTGCTTGTGCTAGTCTGGACTAATACTGAGTTCACAGTGCTAGCCCACTGAGATACCATGCCGCAGTTTAGCATGAATACCCATTCCGACACAGTCAACTGAGCCGACAAGTCCTTATTGCTCAAGCAACAGGCAGGGTAACAACAAGTACCATCTTTTAACATCTTTTGGTAATGGCGTGGCTGGGGATTAAACCCAGATTTTCCATTCTCTGGGTGGACACTCTACCACTAGACCAGGGAGGCGGTCGAAAAGCAATAATAGGAGGATACATCTATATATCGTGAAAATATTAGGCTATATTTGAACTCCTTCAAAATACCAACAATGATATACACCCATAACTTGCTAAATTCGACTGAAATACTCACTGATATACTGACAAATGATTATATTTTATTTGACCCTTGCTGTGACTGTTTAAAACATGCCATTTAGATTTGCACCGGGCACACAACCTTTCACAAAATATAAAATAAATATTTGGTAATAACGTTATATAGAATTTGAAAACATTCCAAAACCCTTTCATCAGTGTTCTGCTCTAACTGGCACAGTTAATTAATGAATAACATGAATATTAAATTGTAACATTGTTACAGTGAGTGAGTATCTATGCTGATTAGAAGCTTTAGAAAATAGATTCATTGTTTGTTGCTATGTGACAGCGGCCTGTAAATAATCGAGTCTTGACCAGACAATCCAGTGATTGACATCATGAACATCGATCCACGCAATTGGGACACGATGACATGCATCAACCATGTCAGCAAGCCTGACAATCCGATCCCGTTAGTCGCCTCTTACAACAAACATAGTAGCCTTTTACGGCAAGCATGGGTTGCTGAAGACCTATTCTACCCCGGATCTTCATGGGTCAGAAATAAGATTAAAACAACAGCTTCTGAAAAGTGAGGCTTGTGTAGGTAATTGACAGAATATTGGTGGAAAAGCAGAAATGACAGAATCTCTGATACTAACCAAAGGTGAGAATGGCAGCTAAAATCCTGGAACCCATAACACTATCAGAAAGATCCACTGCTGTTGATGACGATGATGAATATTGTCTACAACATCTGCAACAACGCTGTTTGTTACGGACCGTTAACCCTTACAAGAGCAAAACAATATCACCATCTGTTGTAAAACTGTTTCCATTTAAATGCCATCATTACATTACTGTACATATGTTAATAGCATTCACAGTAGAAAAACAACATGATGATTGATCAATATTTAATGAAATGTAAAATAAACTGATCCATTTTTATCTCCAAAGATTTTTTTTTAATACTTTCTGTATAGTTAATTGCTAGTCAGCCCTGAAGGTCTTTGGTCACAAAACATGTCATATGGCGAGATCAGAAACATAAAAGTCGTGGTGAATGGCTGACATTATTCATATGGAGGTGTGGAGGGAATGGATCTTGGATCTATCAGAGAGTAGCCACTTCAAACCCTCCATTGTGCTGCTTGATGAACAAGTACTAAAAGTCCATCTCCTGGCTTCAATAGTAGCATTGTGGGAAGAATCAGTCAACCAGTCCAACCAGTGTCACAGGGTATACATGGGCTAGAGTACTTGGTGAGTCGGGGATGGTGGATGGTGGAACGATGAGTGGATGTATGGATGGGTGATGGATGGACGGACAGGTTTTTGGGTGTGTGGTGGAAGATAGATGTTTGGATGGATGATGGACGGACGAATGGATGGGTGGATGGGTTTTGGGTTGTGTGGATGGAGGATGGATGGATGGATGATGGACGGACAGACAGATGGACGGACGGATGGATGGGTTTTTGGGTGAGTGGATGGATGGATGATGGATGGCTGCATTGACGGGTGGATGGATGAGTGGGTGGATGGGCTTTTGGGTGTGTGGATGGAAGATGGATGGATGGAGGATGGACGGATGGGTTTTTGGCTGTGTGGATGGATGGATGATGGATGGACTGACGGACTGATGGATGGATGGGTAGATTGGTTTTTGGGTATGTGGATGGAGGATGGATGGGTGGATGTATCGGTTGGGTGGATCGGTGGATTGGTTGGTGATTGGATATGTAGTTTGGTGGATGGGTTTTTAAGGTGGATGAGTGGGTGGATGGATGAGTAGATGTGTGGATGTGTAGGTTGGGTGGATTTGGTGAGTGGATGGTGGGTAAATGGTTGGGTTGGAAGGTGGGCGTCTTCAACTGATTCCGACAATGTCAACATATTTTTCAGTGTTCTCCATGCTGACAACAGCATCACTACACTGTGATGTCTTCAAGCATGATCCCACCAGATAACCCTGGTCATAATGTGATTTCTGAACGATAAATCTTCACTCAGCGTCTCCCCTTGATGACCTCCTACAGTGAGGGTCTACATGGCACACCCTTTCCCCTTCCAATTTTGAAACTAATTTTGAATAAAGTAGGAAATAATTTTTATCATCACACCATCACACATAGCAATATTAATACAACACTATGCCATGTTTTTTTAAAACAGTTAAATTTGAAAACACTTTATTTGTCTGTTTAATTCATTTTTCTGTGATGTCAAGCACCCCCCTCCAAGTCCTCGTTTACGACAACGATCGTGTGTCAAAACAGGTGCATCTTCATCAAGATCCAGTGAATCCTGGCACAGCATGGCAGGAAGGGTTTAATGGAGGCTACATGCTCCACTGGAAACACAAATCTCATTAAAATCAGATCTTAGTTCTCGCTACTGCTAAACAAAGATCTGAGGACATCCCATTACCGGTAACGTCAGACCGACCTTGTGCGAACTTTGACCAACCAATGGAATGACCAATCAGAAGGCAGCTTTCTCGTTCTTTACGGCACAAATTTCAAATTGGCGACTACGCTTCGAAACATATTTTGACAAATTCTCGATTACAAATTTGAATAGATGGTCTAGAATGTATGGATTCAGTCGTTAAACCCGTAACTATCGTTTGGAATACCCCAATGTAAAAGTTTTCGAGATTGCATTGATTAGAAATCACATTCCGACTGTCACTTTCATAATCTGGTAAGCGACGCACTGATTGGTCGGATGAAAGGTTGTTCTGACGTGACCCCTAATGGGATGTCCTCAGATCTTTGTTTAGCTATAGCGAGAACTAAGGTCTGATTTTAATCAGATTGCTGGAAACACAGGCTTTAGACCACATCTCCACCTGCGATAGAAATCTATCTTGTGTATTGCCAGAATGGTCTTTTATCATACACAAAATTCACAATTTTCTGTCCCCATCTGGAGAATCAAATTTAATATCCATTACAGATAAAGGTCAGTGCGTATGGTTTTATGCCCATTTTAAGATGCATATTTCAGCAATATCACAGTAGGAGACACCAAGAAACGGCTCAGACAAGTGTACCCGTATGGGGAATCAAATTCAAGTCAAGACAAGCCCATGTTCTAACCACTATGCCACCTGACTGCTTAGTTGAAGTAGTTATAGCACATGTAGTTGTTGTGGGATATGTGAGCATGACGATACTGTCATTATTTTTAGACAGATCCCCCGTTATTAAACAGATCCCGTTATTTAACAGATCCCCTGTTAATAAAACAGATGCCCTGTTATTGAACAGATCACCTGTTATTGAACAGATCACCTGTTATCAAAGCAGATCCCATGTTATTTAAACAGATCCCATGTTATTAAGCAGATCTCTTTTAATGTTAACTTTACATACAAGCAACAAGCTTCAGTCAACACGAGAACATGGCTACCGTCTGTTTCAATGTTACAGCAGCACTCCAACGTACCCAACTTGAGACGTATATATTACATTCTCCACAGACAAAACAGCATGTTCCTGACCAGAGGTCACTAGGGGTCACCACAGCAGGAACAGAAGAGCTATCAATGCAACCGTCACTTAGATTACACTCAAGTACATTTCAATGACAAACATCATTTGTCCAAAACCTTGCCCATTGATGAAAGCGGAGAAATCCGAACCCTGGACAAACCGAGGGCAAATATCTCCCTTTCATGCTTAACTGTCGGTTGTCATGAAAAGTGGAAATTCAAAAATGTGAAAAGATGAATTTCAATATGCATCTGAAGATGTACATGATGTTTTCAAATGGCAAGACATGCAATACGTGGTGTAACTGCTTTAATCTTCTTGACAAACAGACTCTGAAAACAACATGGATAAAACTGTCATTTTAGATGTGCCTCAGGGCACGCTTGAAGATGCTCTTTGAAATTGAAGTGTGGCAACAAGAAGAATTCTTTTGATTAATCTGAAATGGTTATTTGAAATGTTTGTCTTTTATTCATCCACTCAATTATGGGTTACACACTGTCTCACCCACTGACTTCAAAAGTTTCAACTACTGCTGTTTCCATCGGGTGTTTTGAA